TTTTCAACTGTTTTTTTCACTTGTATTTTATGTTTTAGTCAAGCAGATACGTGTGTTGTGATTTTTAAGCACAAGCGCTATAATTCCCATTAGAGACTAATGCTGTCATTGTTCTTTTCCATGTTTTTTATTTGTTCCTATTTCAGAGTCTGCTTGAAGGCATCACTGCTCTGTCTGATCCAGCACGCCAGCATCCTCCTACCATTGATATAGAACAGCACTGGAGCAATTTACTCTCTCTTACTGACCTTGATGTAAGTTTGTTTTCTTATGTTTATTAGTCGCCAAGAAATGTATTGTAATGTCATTTATAGGGAATTGACCATGATATATAGCATTTCTTTTAGGATTATCAGAATCCATAAAACATTTTTGCCAATAAACGTGCTGAAAAGTGTGTTACTTCGGGTGGCACCGGCCAGTATCTCTTGTCTGTAGTCATCACTCTTTAGCCCCACCCCTAGCTTCCACCGGGTCCGTCTGCGCCGCGTTACGGCAGCGCCGCGGTTTTGGTCCGACCTCCTCTAGCGTCATAACCCACCGGGCGCGTTTCAGAAGCATTTCAGAAGCGGAGCGTCTTGCCTGCCGGCTCGCAGTTTTTGTTGATTTGGGCATATTTCCTGGACAGGCTACTTTGTACAGACAAAGTTAATAATAATAATAATAATATTCCAGTTATAAACGACATGAATCAAAGATGTGTTTGATTCAAAATGCAGTCATCATCATAATTATTCTATATATATATAATTTAGATTTACACAATGCCTGTAAACCGGAGAAGAACGGCATTTCTCTTCCTACTTGAAAGACTAAGGAGGGATAGGGTCTGCAAAATTAGCTTGTATGTGTGTATATATATATATACACACATGAATAACTCGGCGCGTTACGGCTCAGAAGCGTCCCAGAAGCGTCTCGGCACAGGGCATCTCTACAATTAGGGTGAATCCTATTTTTGACGCGACGTAGCCGTAAGGTAATGTCGGGCAGGCAGGAAGTGGAACGTTTAGACCATATATATATATAATATATATATATTAAGAAGCCCACTTTTCAAACATTCAGTCAATTCAAGTTGAAAACATTTTCTATCAAATCTGAGTTGATCCCACTTATCTTCACAACACGCTTGAAATAAACCCTTTCTATTTCCTCTTCTGATAAGCAATCTGAGGCTCCTGTTTTAAGGAATGAGCTGCTAACAAAAATAATTAGAACTCTATGGAGAGCTGTGATGTAGGCTGTTGTTTTTCTTAAAGCATTCAAGTATTAAGCATAATGTACCTACATTTCATTCATTTTGCTAACGTATGAGGCAATATACCTCACCTCTAGTGAGTGGCCCAGCCCTTTTTATATTCTTCTGTATGTGGCCCTCGGTGAAAAAAGTTTGGACACCCCCGGTTTACAGTCTCCTTGAATACTAATCATTGGCATTATATTTGGCCCTAAAACATAATGATTGATCCCTAGTTTTTGACAATAATATTGGTTTTCAAACAGTGATTCAGTTGCATAATGTACAATATGACCCATCATTATGTTGCAATGGAGAATCTTAGCGTCCTGTGATCTACTAGTTCTTTAAATATTTCAGCTAAATGATATGCCCCATGTGTAGGACTTGGACTCGCTTGTCACGGAGCGTCTATCAGACCTCGACTCAGACATCTCCAGTGCCATCAGCCAAGATGTCAGCTTGCATGACGCTATGGTCACCAGTGCTGGAGTGTTTGGCGTGGCGTCTGAAAGAGCTGAGTCCAGGCCAGTTACCCAGCAACAGAGAACCCTCTTCCGACTGGAATCCACGGGCTCCACACAATCAGACGCATCACCAGGGATGGCAATGGGCCTGGCTGCGCTCCCCTTTGCTTCAGTATGTAATTTAACTGGCAATGGGAATAGTGCACTGAGTGGCTGTCTGGACGAGGCCGTGTTTGACCAGATCAATCAGCTAGGGCTGGAAGGCCTGGACACCCAGCTGATGGGCTCTCTGGAGGGCATAGACCCCCAGGTCCTCGAGGACTTGGACTCCGACTCAGGTCTCTCTTTGGAGAGCAGCTCTGGAGGCCCTGTCTCCCCAGGTTTGTTTACATTTCTACAAATACTTAGTAGATGAAATGCTTTTGTTGCCTACACATAAGAAATTGTTACTAATCCGTATTTACCTCTTCACTCGTCCAGGCTCCTCCGAGATGTCATCGTCTTCCAGTTCATACTGTGAGGATGAGTGTGGAGCCACAGGCTACAGCAGTGAAGTGGATTCAGTCGCTTCAAAAGGCATCATCGACTACGACACAACATGGTCACCTGTAGATCTGAGTGAGAGTGTTTGGCATGACCACAGCTACTCATCCCCAGCTTTCTTCAACCAGCCACCAGTAACATTTCCTCACAAAGGGATCAAAGAGGAGCCCCTCAGCGATGTTGAGGATGACGAGCCACGGTTCCACGACAGAGAGATGAGTCGCGATGAGATGCGCGCCCGTTCTATGTGCATCCCGTTCTCCGTCCTGCAGATTGTTAACATGCCAGTGGAGGAGTTCCTGGAGGTCCTCGACAGTCACGGCTTCACCACTGATCAGGTGACCCTACTGAGGGATATCCGCAGACGAGGAAAAAACAAGTTGGCAGCGCAAAACTGCAGGAAGCGCAAACTAGATGCCATCACAGGGCTACAGGAGGAGGTGGAGATGTTGCATGCTCAGAGAAACAAGCTACTGAGGGAGAAACAGCTCACAGCCAAGACAATGGGTGCTGTGGGCCAGCAGATAAAGCAGCTGACCAGGGACCTCGTGGCCCGGCTGAGGGACGACTCAGGACGGCCCCTGAACCCAGAAAGATTCACCCTGCAGTGCGGGGCTAATGGGAGGGTTGTAGTTCAGCCTGTAAGACGGCCGGCTGTCTCCACAACAACAGGCAACAAAACAGACAAGAGGAAGAAGGAGAAAAAGCAATGATGCAATATTGCCACTGAGACTTGAACTTTTAGGTTTTTGGATATTTCTGAACTTACTTTGCCTGACTATGGTTTTGGGATCTCCTCTTTTCAAAAAGTGTGTGTGGATTCACCACTGTTGGGAGCCTAAATTGGCAAAAGCTGCGAACAGGAAAGAATACTCAGAACATCAATTAATAAAAAAAATCTCTGTAAATAAAATTTCTCTTGGGGAAAAATGTAGCTTACACACTGGACATTTTTGCTTATTCAACATGGACACGGCACACAGGGCGGTTTAAGGGATAAGCTGAACTGCTGCCAGTGCCACCAGTCTCTTTGTGCCTGTTAACATTAAAGTCACTGAGTCCTAGCGTTTTTACAAACAAACGCAGACATCTGAAGTCAACATGGCCAGCAGTGTGACACTTGCTGGATGGAGATCTCAGAGGAGGATTTGTTTGTTTGTTTGTTTCCATGTAATCTTGCCTCTCAATGTATAGCTATTCAGTATAAAAAAAGAGGTTGAAGATTGTATTTATTAAAGTTTCTGAGGTTTCTGAAATGCTTATATGCATAATGAGACTGTCGATGGCAGTATCTTTTTTTTCTTAACGGTAAGGTTATCTCAAAGTGGTAAAAATATTGGGACATTACCTATCTAAAGTTTACAGATTTGTTTCAGATATTTGAGGGCATGTTATGTTCAGTAGAAATGTATACTGAAATGTTGTTTTCCTTATGTCTTGATGACATACAATATACCAATGATTAAACTAACATGGCCTTAATTTGCATTGGATAAGTGTTTTGGTTATTGTGTGTGCACACAATCCACAAATGCACATAATCATAACAAAAATGTTTTTAAGTGGCTACCATCCTATTTTTTTATATTAATGTTGAATAATTTGTTTCAAGCACATATTTTGCATAACAATTTCATTTAAATTACTTAAGCGTTTTGGAAAGATTATATTCTACCTCACGCCTTAGTTGGTTTTAGATTTTGGATTAAAAAAAATATCCCTTTTTTAAGGGAGCCTAAATGAACTCATTACACATGTTTAATTTGAGTGGGCCTAAATGGACCCTAACCATCCCATATCTGGGAAAAAATAAAATTACAATCAGCAACTATTTAATGATTGAATGTTGTTTGGATGTTGCTTTTTTATTTGAGATTATCTGAGAGTTGAAAGTATTTAGTGAAGTTGCCATCTTATTCATGGAAAACATCTTTATACAGTCAGCTGAGTGAGTGAGCGTTGACCGGAGAAAAAAAAGTGATAGTGCAACTCATGAAGAATTTTGTTTCTGGTCCCTCACAAATGTTTATTTAATTTTCTGGTTTGACCAAGAGTTTACTTTTGTTTGTATACATTTTAAACTGTTTTTCTTTGTTGATGAGGGCAAAATGTGTTTGATTGCATGGTGATTGTTGACTGTTTATAGTATGATTTTGCTTAGGGAATTTGAAATGCTCTTGCTGACCTTGTTTTTTCTGATTAAAAAGAAAAAAAACAGCTTGTCTCATTCTTGTGTCACTGTTTTAGTAGCATAATCCCCTCTAATACACAGCACTGCTGAGCTCATTATGCTTTTTGATTATTATTCAGCTTTCCCTTTATGTTGTAGTAAAATGACAAGATACGTTTGTGCACAGATGGAAGGCTGACAGGCAGGTAGGCCATCCAGTTATTTTAGCCGGGCTGGCTAGAATGATTGGTCGTGCTTTTTACAGTACTACGGCTTCCACAGATGAATTTTTTTTAATGGATTTCTTGTCAAAGCACTTAAGATATTCATTGCTATGGGGATGTTAAGAGCATTCCATGGAATATAACAAAAAGTGTATCTCGAGCCGGTTTCTCAAACTTACCTACCCCACATTAAGTAGTTATACACAAGGTAGTTAGTTATACACCGACCTTGCCTTTTAAACACTTCCTTGTTTTGCCATAACCTGCGGAGGGCTAATGGCACCCACCCACCCACCCACGAGGAGCAGACAAAGGTATGTGAATAACGAACCGCGTTTTCCTTATAGGCTCCCGTAGAAAACCTACGATTAGCTTTTGGCGCCTGCTAGTACTGCTTCTGCACAATACATAAAGAGAAGGTTGTGACCGCGTGGTGGAGGCATCTTTCGAGCAGTTCTTGGTTTTAAGGGTGCGTATGCTGAAGTATTTTATTTTTCATACGCTGCATCACTCAATCATGCAACACGTGGCGTAATTGATTTTAAACCATTGACACAGGCAAGCTAACGATAGCTTTTCTTTTGCAAGGACGGTGAAGCAGGCAACGCAGCTTGCACAAAAAGTGAGATATAACGTTACGTTACCCCAACATTATTAGCTAGCTTTGCTGTACTTTTTAAACGTGATTACGTTGTAACTTTATGCCAATGTATATCACAGTACTTTGCAATGTTTTGACTTGTTTAGCTAAAAGTACAAGTGTCTATTTCTGGATTTTGTATTTTTCTCGGGCCTTGAGCATTTGTATCTTAGCGTAACCTTAACTTTAATTTACCAATGAAAATGCTGATATAACATCACTCTCTAAGGTTATTTCTTTATACCATGCATCGTTATAAGCATTGCATTGCAGATGCCACAGTAAAGCCAATTACATATTCTCCACGACCAAGGCCTGCAATATTATTAGCTACAATTAGCAAGTATGCTAACCTACATAGTGTTATGTTGTGATTGTGCTAGATTTGAATTGTGGTTGAAGTGTTGTTGCAACGTTAACACTAGCTCATTACAAAGAGCTAGTTTATGGCCTTTTCATCTTATTTGGAGAATGTTGGTTCATCTCATGTGAATCATAGCAGTAGCTTGTGAATTGAAACAATCTTAGCAGTTATTACACGCATTCTTTTTTATAGTGAATAATATGGCGAAGAAGCAAAATACTAAGGGGAAAAAGGATGCCCAGGACCCGCAGGAAGAGCCTGAGGAATTCGTGGTGGAGAAAGTACTCGACCAACGCCTTGTAAACGGGAAAGTTGAGTTCTTTCTGAAGTGGAAAGGATTTACAGAGTGAGTTGCCTGGGACCCTGCTGAGCTGGAAGTACTTCCCTGGTATGGGGTCGTGCTATGCTTTTGTCTTTAGTCATCTTGGTTGCATGAATAATCTGTTGTTCTGTATTGAAAGTTACTTAACGATGTTAGCATCTGTGTATAAATCTCTGGAGTTGGAAAGCAAATGGTGACCCTCTCCCCGCTCATTCAGGGCCGACAATACCTGGGAGCCAGAGGAGAACCTCGATTGTCCAGAGCTGATTTCAGCTTTCCTGGAAGCACAGAAGAATGTCAAAGAGAAGCCTGCTCCTGTCAAGCGGAAGTTATCAACAGAAGAGCCAGAGTCAGAAGCCAAAAAGAAAGATGTGGTGAGTTCACAGACAGTTTCATGTGCCTAAAATAATAATAATACATTTTATTTATATAGCGCATTTCCTGTTGCTCAAAGCGCTTATCTACGTACCTTATCTACGTACCTTATCTACGACACAAATTTTTTTTAGGATTATTTTTCAGAATCTGATCAATCTTATAAAGATATGACATGTAAACATTATCTTGGTGTTTAGAGCAATCCAAAATTAATAATGCAATTGTTATCAATGCTTATAGCCTGAGAAACCACGTGGATTTGCCAGAAACCTTGACCCAGAACGGATCATTGGCGCAACAGACAGTAGCGGGGAGTTGATGTTCTTGATGAAATGGTGAGTATAGAGGGAGAAGTCCTCTTTATCTTTATCCTCAGGGCGGAGGGAGCTTATTCAGTAGGGACTCACTCTTCTTGGGAACCGGGGGGATTCACTTTGAGTTGCCAGTTGTAATATATATATATATATATATATTATATCACCCAGGAAACAGTGCTGGCATATTGTGATTTATTCAAGTGAACCTTGGAAATGCCAATTTTCTGAATGTTGAACATTATCCATGATCTGATTTGGCCATTTATACTTTAAGGCCTCAAAGTGCAAACATTTGGAGCAGATTTAGATCACGAGGAGAACAAAGGGCAAGGGGGGGCCCCAAACACCTTAATACACACCAAAACATTCATTCAGATCCATTTCAACCCTACGTTTCCATGATGTGTACACTGTAATCCTTTTATGCACATTATACAATTATTACTACCATAAATAAACCCATTATTTTGTGTGATAATACTACTGATTACAAAAAAGACATTCAGCCCACTAGTGCTGCTGTAGCAGAATAAGGCTCCAGGTAGATAACAATGAGCTTAAGGGTAAAAAGATTTGTTGTAAACAAGAAACAGCATTTACTGTAATATTTTTCTTTCCTTTCTCCTTAGGAAAGACTCAGATGAAGCCGATCTGGTCCCGGCCCGTGAGGCCAACACTCGCTGCCCTCAGGTGGTAATTTCCTTTTACGAGGAGAGGCTGACATGGCACTCCTGTCCAGAGGATGAGGCTCAGTAGTGCTGTCGTCTGATCCCTTTGCACCACTCGCACCCTTTTCCTCAGGACTGAATGTTCTCCTCTGGCTTGCCTTTTAGTTTTAGCTATGTTAGTTTTCTTCCGAAGATATTTCGGCCCTCGCATTGTATGGCTGTTGAGGAGAAATATGTTGTTGTAAATAATAGCTGAACTGTTTGAAAGAGCTCAGGGTTTGGTGGCATAAGGACAAAAGTCTTCCGGTATATCATATGATGATTTAATGCGATGGCCGTTTGGAAACTATATTCTTTGATTGAACCCACCACTGCCCATATTCATACCTGATGACAGTTTGTAAATTCTAAATTGTTACTTTGGTCTGTTAAGGTTTCAGGTCGGTCAAGGTACCACCTGCTCTATAACCATCGAAAAAATATCGTAGAATCTGGTTCTTTCACAATAGTCTTAACGTTTTGTTCTACAGTGCATTTTGTATACTGTCTCTAAATATTATTTTGAAGTTCAAATAAAGTTTTATGTGAACAAAATGTCACCGCTTATTTTTTCATGGTTTCAAAAATAAATATGTCGTCATGAGTTGGCCAAATACAATACATAAGTTTACCTATAAATGTAAATTTGAACTTTTGCAACTTTTTTCCAAATGCTTTGATAAAGTAGATTTTTTGGAAACCTGGAAATGTAGACACATAAGAATAACATTTACTTGTATCTTTTGAAACTGTAAGATTTGATTTATTTTCATTGTGTATCCACATTTAAATCCTTGCCTTGATGCCACTTAATGCAATGAAACTACAGCAATGAGAACATTTTTACAGTTATAATTGTATTATTCAGCTGACACAAACGTGTGTGATTTACAGGTCACATGTTTATCACTGTGGAGACAACTCAAGGGTCCAAGACAAAGTATGCATGGAAATGTACCCTGTTTACTTACTGAAACATGTTAGATGCTTTTATCCAAAGCGACTTACATACTCAATACTCAATACTGTGGACAGTCCCCACAGGAGCAATTTGGGGTGAAGTGTCTTGCCCAGGGACACAACGACATGCTGACTGCAGTGGGGTTTGAACCGGTGCTCCCCTGATCCGAACAACAACGTTTACCCACTGCGCCACACGCCTCCTGTATGTACTGTACAAGTAGTCAATTGTCAATGGACATGTCCTCATTTAACCCCTTCACTGAGTCTGCATCTGCATACTTATGCTCCTACAGTATTCAGCACAGATTTGAGGCCACAGCACTTCAGCATTTTGATTTGAGAGGTTGCATACTTAATACAGTTCACTCTTTTCTTTTCACTTGTAAGATTTTAAAAGCATATTTTGTGACATATCTTTCCATTGTGGCATTGCTACTTCTTACATTTTTAAAACAAATAGCTGTACTTTCTACTTCTTACATTTTCAAAACAGGTTAGTCACTTTAGTTTTAATCTGTTTGGTGGCGTGATCATTATTATTTAGAGTCATTGTGTACCTATTGATTTGAACANATCAATTCGATCATCAATCAATCCACTCAATCACCGCGATCCAAAGAAATGGTCGGAATCGCTCTCTGAATCTAACTCCCATACTCGGCTGTGCATTTGTCCTCACCAAAAGACCTGGTCCTTTTTCTTATCAGCTCATACCTGTCAGGCTCCGTATTGTAAACTTGTCCCTGACCTTCGACAAATTAGGAAAACACATTGTTTCTGTTCTGTCGCCACCTGAGTGGTTTAGCAGTGCCTACAGCCGTCACAAGGGACACCTCACATTCCCAATCATGACCATCTTTACCATCAAACTCCATATTCCCTATAAGTCCAGTGCATGGCAAAAATAAGTAGACAGGCGAAACTGTGCCTTAGAGCAGAACAACAATTCATTGCCATATGAATCGCCCAGGACATGATAGTATACAACAATAAATAACCTCCTACGAATTCGAGCTAATATAAAACAGAACGAGTTCGACTCTTTATCTCAGGATATTAGTGGTCAGCGTAAGCAGAGTCACACTGGTGCGCAATCGGAGGAGAGGAAGAGGAAGGATTGCGGTGCCAAGTGACTATAGGGGTCCCACCCAATTCATCATGCCACAGAAAGAGTACCTTTTAACCTGTCCCACCGAGTCCTCTTAAAAAACACATGTCTAAGCCCAAAGGGCTTTGGTCATCCTCCCGGCTCCTGAAGAACAGCTCATTCTGGACAAACGCGGATGATAATCAGCATCGATCCACCCATCCTGGTTTCCGAGTCTGTTTTTTCCGCAGCTGCTTTTTTCAACATGACGGTCAATGGAGACCTCTATAACACTCTTCCCATAGCATTTCAGATGCAGATTTAAAACAACACAACCTTACACTCTCTCATGTCAATGGCATTGGGAAAAGAGAGACCTACATCCCACGAAAAAATTCTGCAAGCACTGTAAATGCTTTTCAGGCGAGCACAAAAGGAAAATTGAAGATGGAGCTGTCCACCAGTGGATGCACCTATTTCCTTACCAATCGTTGGCGATCCACCATTTACACATAAAACGCTAGCGTCTCTCTCACATACACACATATAAACTCCACACTAGCATCCCCCAGAGAAAAAGCATGCTTTAACACGTCATGAATATTACAATGGAGCCTGATCTGGGCTCATTAATATTACACCCGTAGTTACCGTGAGCCCCAATTCAGCAGCTAACATAGAGCCTGGAATGCTCCCCTGTTACTGTACATAATCACTATATCACAGCGACAGTCTTCAGATCAGCGAAGGACAAACCACACCATCACGGTAAGGAAATATCAAGGACTTTTCTACAGAGAGCTTGACTAAATGTGGAGTCTTGGTTGCTTGAGATATTCTCTCCAAATCCAAAAAGTGTACTGGAGTGCAGTGCTATCTGGATAGTGACAGAGAATTTCATGTAAACGCGACGCTCAGGCTCAATACCTGGTTGGGACCATTGTTTTCATGTCATACCCCACTCTCTTTTATTTCTTAGTCTGGCCGGCTATACCTCTTCCACAGTCCAAAAATGGAAAAAGGGTAAAGGCAAAACTCCAGCCACAAGTAACAATAAATGACTAAAAACGCGGGGCCTATGGATCCACCCCGCCAAACATTCAGCATGACATAAGCGAGAAAAACATCAGAAATGTAAAATACCTGAAATGGTGATTATTTTAGACTTTGTAATTTAAGTCAGTTATGAGTTATTAGCTAAAACTACATTACATGATCCATATATGTAAAGTAGAAATTAGTTCTTCCTTCAAGTTCACAGAGGTTCTGTCACGATCTTGGTGTTATGTCACGTTTTAGTTTTGTATGTCTAGGTTTGGGTTATTTTGCTGTTCTGTTCTCCCTGTTTCATGTTTTCCTCCTTTCTTGTCTGGTCCTTCTCCCTGTGTTTTCCTCCCTGTCGTTAGTTTCTGTGTCTGATTGTCTAATTGTGTTCACCTGTTGCCCTTGTGTTTCTCCTCCCCTGCCCGGCTGTTTCTCGTCTTGTGATTACCCCTCCCTGTATTTAGTCTTGTCTCTTCATGTGTTCCCCTGGCGGTTCATTGTTTGTTTGTCCTGTCTCCCTCCATGTCAGTCACGGTCAGTCCTTCGGTAGGTGTTTTCCTTGTGCTTTCGTTTTGTTTCATGTCATGTTTTTTTGTCATCAGCTTTTGTAATAAAGCTCGCTTTTATTTATAGACCTTTACCCTTTTTGTAATCTACTTTTGGGTCCTACCTTTTCCGCAATCCGTACAGTGATCTTAACAGGTTCACAGAAATCCCACCAGATCCACTTAATAAGAACTGTTTTGTGGTTCAAACATTCGACACAAAGCACCTACAGTGCTTACATTTCCCTTGGAACATATCTGCCATTGGTTAAGCTATTGTAATGTATTCACTTTAACAAAATGAAATATGACAAGGCCTTGAATTGTGTGCAACCTTTTTTCTCTCCTCAGCGACAGGCTGCAGCCAAATGCTGAGGAGTCTGGCACGGCTACAGGAGGCCAGCCATCGGGCTGCATGCAGACACACACACACACACACACACACACACACACACACACACACACACACACACACACACACACACACACACACACACACACACACACACACACACACACACAATTATTTGTCATTATTAGCTACCCCACTACTGTTTTACACAACAGCAGTTGTTTTTTGTAAATATGTGTTCACCTTTCTTAATTATTATGTTTTTCATAATTGCCTTTATTGCTGCTTTATATTGAGCTGAGTACATTTTAAAGACCAAGAAGCCGTGACATTCAAACTTTAAACATTCAAAATGTTATTGACAATGAAATGTATTTACTGTTTATCTTGGTTCTTGATAAGCTTCCGGTTTGGAAGCAACTGCAAGATGTTCATTATATGAGGGGGCATCTGTTTAGGATTAATTATTGTAGTTTATAAGGGAGATTACCCATTAACAGGGCATGCATGAGCCCTCTTAATTTATCCAAGCCTTTCTGCAGCTAGTGTTTCAGAAGTGAAAGCTTTTATTTCCCTCTCACACATGCAGTGGAGGAGCAGACTGACAGCCCCTGTCACAAGGCCTTGACCTAGCAGTGAAACAGACTGGTACCGCAGCAGACTCCATAGAGACAACTTGGATTAAATCAAGTGTAAGTCTATCCTTGTCAGATCAAAACTATCATAGTAGGGCAGGCTTGCCTACATGCAGGTGTCAGGATGATTGACACATTAAGGTCAGAGACTAACAGGGGGAGTGTGTGAGTGGGTATGCGTAAAAAAACACTTACAATGTATACACACACAGATAAATACATACATTACGTCCACATGCATTCATGAGTGATAACTAATAACTTATTTATGTTATAAACACATAATATGTAGTCTGATCTGAAATTGGAGCATTCTGTTTCTGTAATGTTTTTGTGTGAAATATTTATGAGTAAATGGGTTTATCTTTGTTATTTAGCAAATTGAATCTTAATACTGTATGTTTGAGTATCAGTGTTCAAGGACAAAGAAACTGATCAAAGGTACAATGTCTGTATAGTTCCACAGTCTGAGATATGTGTGACTGCTGGCAGGGGTGTGACCACACTGCAGCTTTGACTGATGACCAGATTCCTGCTGAGATGCTGAGCTGAGCTACCAAGTGATTGCCAGCCTGATTGTGTTTATGAGTTAAAAAGCAGATCTGGGAGACAGACGGTAGAGCTCGACCCAGATGTCCAGATCACAGACACTTATTCTGCACCCGTGGGTCTGCAGAAGGCACCGGTTTAGGAGGGCACATGCATGAGCTTTCATGCACACACAATAGCAAAAATGGACAGACAAAAACAGGGTTCATTTTGAGCTTTCAGTTTTTTTTTTATTGTGTTCCAGAACAGACAACACTTTTGATTATCGGATATTTCATGTACATGCGTACATGTGATTTAAATAAATGGTTTAACCATCTATAAACATGTTCCGTCTCTTAATTTTTTAATTCAAGCTACCCATATCGGATTTAA